AGTGGGAGTAGGAGTAGGAGTAGGGGTAGGAGCAACAATAACAACAATAATAATCATAGTAGTAGGACTAGTACTTAGTACTACTAGTGCCACTGAGTACCACCACTACCACTTGCCACTGCCGCTACCACTACTACCACTACAACTACCACTACGACAGGCGCGAATACGATTATTCCTACTACTGCCACGACTACGGCCATGACTGCCGCTGCCGTTGCATTGCCACCACTAGCACGCCGACGGGTAGAGTCCGCACGTCGAGAGTGCATCGACTTTTGGCTCGTTGCTCCTCAGTTCTTACTTGACCAACTTGCAACATCTTTGCAACATACCCCGAACAGCTATTCCGATCCTTATAAGAAAGGCCAGATCACCAGAACATAGCTCAGATCGATGGTCCAAGGTCCAAGATACCGCACCCTTTGGATGAGGGAGTCCATCAAGCCGTCGCGAACCCGGAAGTGGCCTGGCCCAAAGGACGCTTCACTGTCCTTTGATTCCAGATCAGCCCCAGCAAGACAAGACAAGATGCTCGGGATGGTCACGAAGCCCCAAAGGCCCAAAGGGGTCGGTTATTTCCCCAGAAGCAGAAGAAGCCTGTCATCTGACGTGTTTAGAAGCTAGGGGTGCAAGTGCACAAGAAATCCTGGTGTTTTGACACTTGTTGCCACGTCTCCACAAAGCTCCACTGTAGAGACATGAGCCCAGGTTGAAGAAGGAGAGGATGTGTGCATCTCTCTGATGCTGCTGGGTTGCATGGGCTTCATGATGGCCACCTTCTATTTGGTAAATTGGCCAGATGATGATATCCAGCAGATCACCTGGGAGATCATAAGCTCCACAACCAGCATTTTCGGAGCTTTGCTGATGTTTCAGGGCTGCAATCGCGTGGTTCACTACTACTTCCTCGATCACGTCTCAAGCTGGCATCAGCTGGTTGTGAACATGCTGCACATGATGCTGTGGTTTTGTGTTCTTCAGCTCGTCTTGGCATACTATTCTGGAGCAGTGGGACAGCAGGAGGCTCCCGCCGCCAGGCGTGCAGCCTTGTCCCGAGCAAGCTGCGACATCCCAATGCACTCGGTGCACTTGGAGTGCGCGGAGAAGCATTTGAAGCTTTGGCCTGCTTGAAGCCTTTCTTTTTCGGGCAAGAGCAGAGTCCCTGACTTTTGCAAACCCCGGCACAGTAGGGCCCTTGTGGGAATTTCTGAGGCATCAGATCCGGTTGAACACTCATGCCTGGGCTGTTCTCCTGGGGCACATCACTGGTTTTGCGGCCGTGAACGCCTGGAGCAGCGTGCAGCAAGCGATGCCAAGGGCATTTTGTCCTGCAGTTCCTGTGGCTGCCTACCTCGGGATTTCTTATATCTACAGAGCCTGGACCTTTTTGGAAGGAGGTTTTGTAATTTGGGGCAGATCCCCTAACAGCTGCTGGAACTACAACTTAAAATTCTACAAATGCTTCAAATCTGCAGGAACCACTGCACGCTGGCGCTATGAGAGGACCATGGCAGACGGCGAGGAGGACGAGTACGAAGAGATCTGGGGGGAATGCGTTGCAGAGACGGAAGATGAAGTCATCTCCTTGTCTGTGTCATTCCTGATTGCACAGGTGCTGCTAGGATCTTATGCAGAAAGCTGTGTCCTCCAGCTTGTTGCTTTCCTCTACGAACAGTCCGCGGGAATGTGCTGAGAAGCTATCTGCAAGAACGCAGGTTAAGGCTACAATGTTCATACCATTCTGTTTAGGCCTTCAAGGGCCCGTGACCTCCGAGGTTGCGTCTGTGCATCACGGGCGAGCTGCCTGGCCTATCAGGCGAGGATCCGGAAGGCACATGGCATTCGATCCTTGGGTCAGAACTTTTTAGGATGTTTTTTTGGGGCCGATCTTCGTCTAAAAACAAGATCAGCCCCCCCAAAAAATCCTGTTATCTTCTTTTACTTTTTTTGTGATTGGGGGAGGGTTGACCTGGCCCCGAGGAGAGCCCCAGCTGCCCTGTAAGACCCATGTAAGACGAACTGCAGGATGCTGCGGTCTGTTGCTGTTTAGTTTGGACCGATCAAGGCGACGCAAGATTTGAGATTTCCAGGATCCTGTGCAACTTACCCTGTCATGACGGTTCAAGCATTGCTTACAAACCTCCAGACCCGCTGTTGATGCTGTATGTGATTACAGACCCTCCATATACATTGGAACAAAATCCAACGCCAACAAACAAACAGGACCGCGAACTGCGTTCTGCTGCTCTCAGTGGGCCTCGTCCTGGGCGTTAGCGAGCTGGCAAGACTGGCTTATGCCAGGTCTCATGGCAAAGCTGCGCCAAGCAGTCATGAGGACCGGGCTTTCATGCACGGCATTGCCATAAGCTCATTGAAGCAGGGAACTGTGCGTGTGTATGCTGGGTCGATTGGCAATCTGCGCCATGTTTGCAGTCTTNNAGGGGGGGGGGGGGGGCTGTGCGTATGTATGCTATGTCGATTGGCGACCTGCGCCGTGTTTGCAGTGTCGACTACCTTTGAGTCTCCATGATATGTCAGTAACTATTGCATACGGAGGATCCTAGCTGTCTTGTGGCGGTCCAAGGGTCTAAAAGCTAAGGCAAAAGCTCACGTCGGAGCTGCGGTATCTCCATCTGCAAGTCTATTCTAATTTCAGGACCCAACTGCGGCAGCAGTGGTAGTAGCAGTTGTTGTTGTCG